AGTTGAACAGGGAGTCTATACTGTAACTTAGATTAGTTTTTAACTATATCTTGTAATGTGTTTTTGACTTAGTGGATTGCTTCGATCTGGACAAGGTCCCATGGATGTAGGCTAAAAGTGGATTGAACCGAACCATGAATATGGTTGTGCTCTTTGCTTTGACTTATGTTTGATGTACTCAAATTGGATGCTTAATCATTGGTAATATTCCGCTGCACCTTAAAAGGGTACTTAAACGCCAAAGTGTGTTAACGAATTCCAACAACTTGATTAGCTATGTTTTCTTGTAAATACAACTACATTGATGTAAAGCTCTCTAAACTGTTAAATTATCATACTTTTATCTGATAATATATTAAGTTACTATTTGATCTAAAAGTTTAAACTAATAATTTGAGAGGTTGAATATTAATATTAGTTTATATAAATTATAATGTCTCTCTCCCCTTGTGGCCATATAGCAAGCCTTTTAGTTACTAGGGTTAGTTATACCCAGAGTCTTGTGTTCGAGTCATGGAAGAGGCATATTGGGATCAAGTTGCGAGAGAGTCAATTACCAGGTATACCCAAAAAAAAAAAAAAACATAATGCATGCTAATTAAAATTTATGATGAAGGCAAATATATTTATATTCAATATGGTACTGTCCATGCAGAAATATAGTTCGTTGTAGATTGTTCACTAAATATATTATATCTCATATGGTACTGTTCCATGCAGAAATATAGTTGGTTGTAGATTGTTCACTAAATACGGATCTTTCAAAGGGGAATTCAGTCATCAAATGTCTATCACCTATAAATCCTACCATATTATGCAGTAAATCAATAATAAAATAAAATCAAATATTCTATATGTACAATACAAATTAACTTCTAGAAAGTCTGTCTCGAACTCCAAATACTAGTAAGATTTTAAGTCATGCTGCAGTAGAAATATTTAATTTGCTCACTCAAGTTACAAGTCTTTGGTGAATTATGCTCATATTAAAGAATAAGAAGATATAAATTATAAAGGAAAGATCGCTATGATGGGAGAATCCGAAAAGTCAAACCCATATATTTATATATATAGAGTCAAAATGTTTCATATTTCAAAAAGGGGAACTGTTAATATATATCATTACTTTGAGTCATGACTCATGACAATTGATACTCCGTCAAATTATTACGGCTGTTGTACAAATCATACATCACTGTCAAAACTGTATGAGATAAATTAAAAATTAATAATATTATACATATATCATTTTTATATAATATTTTTTATATAATATTTTGTAATAAGATATAATTAATTAATTTAAAATTAAAATTAAATTTTTACCCAATCATATCTTGTCACATAATATTATATAAGAAATATTATATGAGAATGATGTATGTATAATATTATTCATTAAAAATCAAATTCTTTTCTTTGTAGTGTATTTTTGCGTAAGTCTACAGTACTTTTACTGTTACGTAAAATATTGTTTAGAAGCAGCAACAGGGAAATGAAGAATAGCTCAAAAGAATATTCAAACAAGAAGCTATTTGCAACCGGTAGATTTTAACAGAGTAACATACATCTCTGTTTTCAAATCTCTATCAACCTAATCGGACGACATGCACACCTAATTTTAATTAATGAATAGGCAACTTGGATGATGATGGCATGACAACTGTTAAATTTAAGTCCTCCTCCACTAAGGCAACTGCTCATTATTAATGTTGCATTTAGGAGTTTTTCCATATAAATAAGTACTCTCAGCAAAAACTTGTTTGTGAAAACAATATGGAAGTTTTAAAGGTTACCAAGTGTTAAAAACTTTTGTGGAATGGGTTGTTTGTTCAATTTTTAGTGCAAATAAGTTGTGAAAAACTTAAATAAAATATACATCAAAGCAAGTAAAGAACACACTTATTTTTACATGGTTCGGCATCAAGCCTACATCCATGGGACCACATCCAGAGGAAGAAAATTCACTATGAAAAACTTATGAGTTGAAATACAAAGCAAGAATAACCAAAGTTGTAAAACACTCCCTATTTTCTACACAACAACTCTAACTTCTTAGGTTAAACTTCAAGTCCTCACAACAGGCTTCACGAATATAGCAACATCATGTTGAAGAAGAGCTCCTCTCAAGATTCAACAATGAAGACAGGATAGTAGCTTACACACAAACTCTCATCACAATAAAAACAGCATCAAAAGATCTCACACAAGGATAGGTGAAGAAGACAATTCTAAGCCTACCAAAGCATAGTAAGAAACCTTAATAAAATGAGAACCTCAGAGAATATTCAGAGAGGAAAACAAATGTGACTGGATTCCTTGAAGAAAAACACCAGAAGTGAGTGAATATAAAGAGATCAATGCGTCAAGGGTTGGGGGACAAAAAAGTTAAAAGTTAACTTTTGTGTTTTCCTTTTTGCACAAGAAATTTGGGACCACAGACAAAAACAATATTTTTTTTCTCACACAACAAATAAAAGGTGGACAAATGTAAAAGAAACAAATAGAATGTCAACAATGAATAATATTGTCATAAAAGTAAAACGAGTGCGTGAAGTGTGATTGAGGAGAAAAATCTGTCAAATGCATGGTAAGCAAACACATACTAAAGTGCTCACACTTGAGAAAGTGTTCACTTTTAGTAAGCGTGCCCATAATGCTAAAAAGGAAAAAATAGTACAGGATTCAAAACAGGATCATAAGATGACAAAAACACTAACACGAAATATAAATAACTTTTTTTTTTTAAATAAATGTTTTTTAGAAAATATTGCTAATATCTTTTGCTTCAAAAGAAAGAAAAAGAAATTAAGTTTTGCTATCTGTTTTAAGTGAGCTCTAAACAATACATAGTCTTGTATAGGCTATGGGGAGGGGTGGAAGTTGGTGGAAGGCAGGCGTCGAGGTGACTGTCTTTTTATGGTGCAGGCGCGCACGCAATGCTGGGCATGCCAGTCTGCGTGCGTCCACAACAGTGGTGTATCAGGTGGTTTTTTTGGGTTCTTCGGCCACTTTTTCAGTCATTTCCGATTTTTTGAATGTCCCTGCAATCTAAGGCATATATATATATAAAACTTTCTCGGTGCCTTGGGCTATTGGCGTTACGGGTGGAGTCTTTGCCATTTTCGGTTCGAGGAGAGATGGTTTTATGGTTTTTGTAGCCTTTTTGGGCATTGTCTTCTGGCTTTCTTGGTTTTGTTCCTGACCCGAGGCAAGTCCCGAGGTAGGAAGAGATTTTTATGCTAATGCATAGTTTTGTATAAGCATTTATTTTTTTTTTTTTTTTTTTTTTTTTTTTTTGTCCTAACCTAGGGGTTTGTCTTGAAGTAGGCTATCACCTTTTATAGGTTTTTTATACATACATTTTTTTTTTCATAAAAGGAGAGAAACTATAAAATTTACCTTTTTCAAAAAAATATATATATATATAAAAGCAGTCACCCTACCTCAGGTCTTATACATTCTTTTTCTCTTCTCTAACGAAAGCTTACTTAAAAAAAAAAAAAAAAAAAATAGATTGAAAAAAGTTAAAACTCAAACGCATAAAGAGAGATTTCTGGCATCATTATATTTAACAAGTCAAAACGTTTGTAAGTGCAATTATGCAATATTATTAAAGACAATATGTTGAAAGAGGTTGACCTTAATCAGGTTTTGGGTCCCTAAACCTCTTATTAATCTAAGATAATTTGCGTGGGACGGTGATGCACTATCGACTCAATAAAAATAAGAAATGCTCTCAAACTAACACTGGCACAGATAAAATTTCTTTTGGCCAATTAATATGTGGTGGGCTGCTCCTTTGAAATGGAAATTAATTTTTAACCGAGACATACATGCATGTATATTTGTGATTTGAGCTTTTAATTCAACTTTAAAATAGTTTTACGGTTCTTGATTGACCGTTAATAATGATAATAATAAATGCACAAATTTTGAAATTTATCACTTATGACAATTTCATTTCGATTTTTACTCTGTAGAGTTAATTTGAATTAAAAAAGGAGCTAAATTCGGTCATACAATACTAATCAACAGCCCCTTTCAAAGCAATATGCTCATTAGCAATTATATACATGTAAGGCTATTATTGTAGTAATTAATTCAAGAATCTTTAAGAAAAATTATTTATAAATACCGCTTTAAGGAATCTGTAACTTTCAGCAGGCAAGTAATCATTCAGCCCATTTGATAGTTTGCAACAGAGCATAAACTAAAAAAATTCGAAGGACAGGTGTGTTTCACTTGAATTTGTCGACCAAATTAAAGAATTTTCTTACTTGCACACGAACCATCAACATAAAAAACTATACATTTGCAAGTGGATAGTACAGGCGAATCCCTAACTTATTGGTGTATTTCGGTGGTGGCGGAGCCTCCCAACTTTGATAATTTTCATTATTCTAGGGATACCTAGCTACCTTCTCTTATCAACAGTCTATATAACGAAATTGATTAAATAGATACCGCCCTTACAAACTTCAAACAACATAAAGCAACAGTTCAGCATATTGAAAGGTCAAGGATATTTAGCTTCAAGAAAAACTGGAAGTTGGTCACTGCTGCTTCATTCTCACATTCTATATAGAATGTTAAGGAATGATTTAATTAACTAAAAGTAGAAGTTAAAATATAAGAATGGACATGCAAATTGCAAACTGTGGTGAGAGATCTTCAAAAGATCCAATTAATTATATGCAAAGATATAGAGACGGCCTTTTAAATGTTAGTTACACATAAACCGTCGAAATTGATTTGGACGCGGGTCCACTTATTTTAATTTTATAGTTGATGAAATGATGATTAGTGTCTAGGATCTTCACAGTGCATGCTTTTTAAGCGTATAAATACCTAAATAGACAAGAGCCTGTCATCATCGTGTTGAATTAATTCTACCTCCTTATAGCTTCTTCCTCGTCAAATCTCTTGTAGTTTGAACTATATTCCTTCAGCAAGCTCTCAATATTCCATCATTTAAGTAATTCGTCCCTTCTCCAAAGATGGTGGAAAGCCGATCCATGAACAAATGTGTTATTATTTTCGCTTGCATAGCCTGCCATGCAATTCTTTCGGCTAAAGGAAGGCAGTTAAAGTACAAGGAGAAAGAAGAAACAGCAAAGCAAGGCAGCCAAAGCATCAGTTTGCAACAGAATGCTGCAGGTCTCAAAGAAGATTTACAGTCAACAAAACCTAGTGTTGACATTTCTAGTGCTGAAAACACTGTGAGTATGACAGGGGAAAAGGAAATATTCCCACCCATGAGTTTTGGTGCTTCTGCAACAGTACACCAAGATGATTTTCGACCTACAACACCAGGTAACAGTCCTGGTGTTGGCCATAAACATACGAAAGAGGAAGAAGATGTTGAATCCAAAGTCGAAGGAGATCATAGCCTTAATGGTGGACACTCTACTACAGGATCTAAGGATGATTTCCGACCCACAACACCTGGACACAGCCCTGGCGTTGGCCACCTTCTTTCAAACAAAAGTGCAGAACCAAAAGAATAAACATGTACATACACATTAAGGTCATGTATTATTCGTTTAGGTCTGTTAACGCGGTACATATTATCCCATGTTGAAGCTAGCTCATTTATGTATGTTATAAAGTCTCTCTGTGGACTCAGCCGCCATGCTATTATTATTAATAAAAAACATTTAAGTATTTTCAAAATTCTCTCTGTCGCAAAAAATCTAAAAGCCACAACACAACATCAATGGAGATGTGAAATGAAATAATTAACATCTTAATATAACTTTTAGCTTTGTTAATATCATTCAACATCCGTTTATGGAAAAAATAAGCGAAAAGCGTAGAAGACGTATTCGTGCGCGCCATCATATAATTTGAAAGAATATTCATTGAGTACTAAAGAAGAAGTATGTCTTTCTATTTTTAATCACTTTAAAAAATATATTTTATGCAAATATTAAGATACAAACAACACATATGAAATATTGAAAAGATAAAATTATATTTGCGTCAATGTATTATAGGGTGTAGCTCTTTTGTGTACATTGTCGTTAACAAAATGCATGAATATAACAAAAATGTATACTTGCTTGTCTCTCTAATGTGTTAATATATTCCGCATACCTCAAGGATCAAATTGTTAATCATTACCATATATAATTAGGAATTCGATTTAAGATATAGGCGTTGAATGTATATTTCAGTAACCAAAGCACTATAATCAATCACTCAATTATGCATTTTTTTTTTTTTTTTTTTTTGATATCCGGGGTGTCAGGACCAGCTTGTACACACAACAACTCATCTCTAGAATCCATTAAACACCCTACAATCTCAAAAGACCAGATAAATCAAAATGTTATTATAGTTGGTGACTCTAAGGTTTGAACCCAAGAACTCAAGGAATTGAATAAATCTTCTTGACCGTTAGGTCAACCCCTTGGGGTTATTGTTTGTCTTAAATACGCACCACAACTCATAAAAGATTTGATAAGAGTTTACAATTTTTTATTTTTTGTCATTTTGCCAACTTGAAATCGTTAAAATACAAAATTTCACAAATTCTTACCACCCTTTCAGCGGAGAATTGATAGTTGTTTTTCTCCTAGAGACTAGTTGCTGATATTAGAAAAAGAAAAAAAAGTATATGTCCTTTCATAGGATAAAAACATACTCACATACATGTACAAAAAAATTTAGATACAGATGTCCTAATTTTTAAAAATGAAAAGCAATAGACCATGGTAAGTAACATCGAAAGACCAAATTTTGATGAACTTCTTATATAAAAAGACACAAATTTTGTATTGAAAAGTGAACTAAATTAAATTTACATATAAAAACATAAATACGCATATATGTCTATCAGTTTATTATGCATATGCATTTCAGCTTTTGATTTATGCATGTTCATACTTCATACATGAGTACATGAATGTATATAGACCCAAAAGTGGGTCGATTCATATAAAACCTCAATAAAAAGAAATAAGACAGCTTACCATTTGGGGCAGTCTTTTCCCCAACTTTATATACATGTTAATTGTATAAGAAATCCTAAAGCATCAAGGAGTCTTGAACGTAGAAAACATAAAACGGCTAAGAAAAGTGCTCCCAGTTTCCCAGTCCGGAAGAGTCGAGTATAAGACTTTTTACTATATAACCAATGAGCAATGGAGAGGAGATTTAATATATAAAATACTTATCGCATTGCACAAAACGAGAACAGAGATGGCGTCCCGCACATGATGCCGGCCGCACCACCACTCCAAATTTTTTTTTTTTTTTTTGTTAATCTTTCCATTTTATGCTGTCTTATGGCACTGATTTTAATATTGATTAATAATTAATTTCACGATAAAAAAATAATAGTACCTATTAATAGGGCAATTTATAAGAACATTTACTATCTAATCAGTATGGCGTCACTTTAGTATGGCGGCGTTCGACATGGCTCAAAGGCACAACCAGAAATAATGAAATCTCTCTTTAACTTTATAGTATTCGTTTGGTTTAATTTGAAGCTGAGATATTTCAACTTTTGACAGGTTATGAATCTGTTGTCTGTATTTCTCCTTCCGCGTAAATTTATGCAAAGATTAAAACTCTTGATTAATAAAAATTGGTTTAAAATATTGAAAAACCCCTTACATCAAAATTTAGTGATTAGCTAAATTATAAATTAATTTGTTTTAGGTCAAAAAGCTAAATTATAAACTTTCTTATGCCGTAAATGGGAGTTCAAACTTCATTTTTATTATGCTTTAATAAATATTCGAAAGGATGAATGTTGGTTAATTATCACGTGACCCTGCCGTTGCTTTTGGACTGTTCTTTCCTCTGGCTCTTCGTGGCCAAGTTTCACAAGCAAATTGGATAATGCCTTCATCATCTTCAGTTTCATTATAAACCTTCATTCTTCGCATTTTTACACGACAAGGAAATGGTTGCAGCGGACCATTAGTAACATTGGTCTAACGGCTCAACTTAGAATAGGCATGAACTGTTGTCATACCAAAAATTCAAGGCTCATTTGTCGTATGAACGGTGCGGGTGGTCCATCAATTGTAAACCCACGACAGATTTGCTATTATCGTGTCGTGCCTTGGGCTGGTTTGTGGGTCAGCTCGCGTACTTATAAAAATATTTAATATTTATAATTTTATAATTTTGTGATTTAAAATTATTCTAAAAAAACATTTTTTATATTATATTAATGACATTTGGTATTTATATTAATTAAAAATATATAATCACTAATAATATAAAAAACAAATGAGACTTGAAATATTAACTGACAATTTCAACATTTATTACTTATAGTTTAATTTAAATACTAAATATCAATTTTAGAAACTTAGGCTTAAGATATTATACCTTTTCTTTTCATTAATTTTTAATTCGAAATCTTCAAAATATTTTTGCTATACTAGATAGTATTGTATTTTATTGTTTTAAATTTTATTTTTATTTTTTTGTGTCATGCCGTGCCCGCCCACGTGCCTTTTTTAAGACCCAGACATGGCCACATAATCATGGTCATGCCGCACCATGCTTTTTTTTTTGCCTGCCGTGTTTTTCATCCAACTCAACTTTAAATTGAAGGGCACTCCTCCCTGGCTAGGTCCTTAGCATTCTTCGTCATTCATCAACAAGTGTCCGGTATTTCTATTGCCCATTAATTGTAACATGAAAAAAACATGAGAAGAGGCGGGAGATTAGAGAAATAGATTTATTACAACTTCTAAATTAAAAGCTACCAGCAGAACCCCAAAGTTCATCATCGAAAATTAAGCATCTCATGTCGACAATCTCTGCAACCACTTAATTATGCTTTCCCTTAATTTTCACACAAATATACAAGCAACCTTCGCCCGCCTATTCAATCTTTCCATTCAAATTTAGGTTAGCTGTTGGTTAGGCAAATTTGAAACTGAATAGAAAATTCGATATTAGCATTTCGTGTGTGTGTGGATGCATGTTCCTTGGGGAGTTGCGGCCAGTATTATGTTGAAAGTATTTAAGTCGATTTCGAAAAAAATAAATAATACTGAAAGGTTAATCTGTTTAAATACAATCGGTTAACAGTTCAACCGCGTGGATTCTGAGTTGGTTTGCATGTAGATTATGGTACTATCATATAGAATATGAATAGGCATGGTTGAGGAACTGGCTGGTGGAGATAACCAGCCGCAAATTTCGGGAGGATTCATTGAATTATCGTGCAAAGTAATACGAATATAGTCCTTGACAATGTTGCTTAGATCATACAAACTATAATGTTGGCCTTTTAACTCGTTGTTTAATCCGCACAATACTTGCAAAGATAGAAACCAAAGAGAATACTAATAAAATTAAGAAATCGCAGAAAAATATTCCTTGTTTGAAAGAGGGAGGAGATTGTGGCGGACACTTAAGGAGCGAAAACTCTTCCATGGTGCAGCTCCTCAAACAGCGGTTTTACAAGTGAATGACAAAATATTTATATATCGGCAAAAATATTTGCTGAAGTAGCTAGCTAGCATGATTTGCAGTAAGTTTGAAGTTTTCTATGATTTATCACAACCAACACTATTTATCACACCAGACCTTTAATAAGACAGACCTTTATATTTTCTCTTCTACATGGAGGGGGGAGCCAAGAGAATCCTTCCCTTATACAGTTCCACCTTCTGGGTTCACTTTTTGTCACATACAATATTAAGGAAAAACAAAAGGCCCTTTGTCACCGTGCAAGTAGTCACAGTAACAAAACATTTTTTACTAAAAGGGAAGTACCATTAGTGAATAAAATTATAGAAAATAAAAGAAAACTCTTAGTACATCAATTAATTTCTTTTCTAGGCCTAATATTAAACGGCCTTGGAACTCGTTCTCCAGTTAAGGACAGAGGGAAAACGAGGCGGCAGTTCATGTAACATGCATTTTATATTTAAAGCTATGCAAACTAAGACTATGAAAAACTTACAGCTTGTGTACTCTAGGGCTTGCTTGGCGAACCCTAGAATAGAGGTTTATAAGAGGTCCTTACTTAATTCATTTATATTACTTTGTTCTCAGTAATGTAGGTGCTATGGAATATCCTTTCTGGATTTTTTTTTTTTTTTTTTTTTTCTCTCTATTGTGGGACCGGCCTAAGACTTGGGACCTCACCACATGAAATATTATATGCTAGTTGCTTTTTGAACTCTATAAATACCGATTTAGGTGAAGGGTTCCAGTATCTTCCTCTTCTTTCTCTTTTCGTGTATCTTTACTCTGAGTTCGCTCAGTTTAGTGCGTAGTAAAACAAAACATTAAACTGAAACACTCAACCTTTGACAATGGCCAGGTCATCTTTACCTGTTTGTTTTTCGTAGTAATGTGTTCTCTCATGTACTTGCATTGAGGAAGAAGTTTGAAAATGAGAAAGAACATCAGTGTCACAATGCCCCTTTAGTCCTGATGGACAGAGCATTTCGAGAGACAGTAAAAATGTTGCAAGTTCAATGCAGCATGCTATTAAAACTATGGAAGGAAATATTGACGCTTTTTC